TCAGAGCAACAGTTCTCTCCCTTAGGCAAGATCCTTGCACATACCGATAGGCATTAGATCATTTGTTTTAATTTCTTAGTCCTCTAAATATGAAAGGGCATTATGTATCCCGTGATGATACTGGGAACACTAGAATTAACAAAAATAAGATAGAACTGGCGAAGAGGTCTTTATCTGAGATCACCTTTTGTGTGTGTGCAGTTATGCTATACAGTGTTAAATAAAACTTGAGCAGTTTTCATGAACCATAAATAACTCTGTTAGCTTATTTTCCTCAAGAAATGTTCTGACTAACCAGGTGTCTATCAAGAGAAAATAGTTACAAGTGTAGATGCGGGTGTCCTCTGCCCACATCTTACTTTCTGTGAAAACTCCTCGTTCAATTAAAATCTAGAGTAAGATGTTTTCAAGCAATACCCATACTTAACCTTTAAAGGTTCTCCTGTATGACAGTTTAAACATTTGTCTTAACAGCCTCAGGATAATTAATTGTATGACATGTTCTTTATAGGTCACAAAAATTCTACTTTCTTTCCACAGAAACCAATTGACTACCACAAATACAGGTATTTTCGCCGTGTTCCTGTACAAGAAACAGATCACAGTTTTCATGTAGGACTGCAGCTGTGCTCCAGTGGGCGCCAGAGATTCAACAAACTTGTTTGGATACATCATTCTTGTCACATAACTTACAAGTAAGTAAATAGAAAATAAGCTCCAAGAAGGATATTTGATTGTAGAAACATGGATGGTGTTAATTTGTTCACTTTTAAATTGAGAAAAATGTAAATGTGCAAAACTTCTGAGGCTTTAAGAACTACCTTGAAAAAATTAGTAATTCTGATTTGATATATTGGTATATAATCATTTTTTTATCCCAAGAGTTCAGTGGTTTTTCTGATGGTGTGGAAATTGTCATTACTGGAACTACAACATGTAAGTATCTAAGAGATTTATGAGCACTGCATAAATAATTTCAGGACTGGATCAGGGCTGAATGACTTAACTGTGGTGCTAGTACAGAGACGTGGAAAACAGGCATTCGTACAGTCTGTTCCACTTTCTCTGTAAAAGCGCAAGCTAAAAATGCTGGAGAGAGAGACTGCTATGGTCCTCTGCACCCATTCTGTGTACAATGAGTGCTTACAAACTGTGGCCCACTGCAAAACAGCACGAGCAGCTCTTCTCATGGTGGCCCCAGGAAGAGCTGTGGCCCTTGCTCTTGTTCCTGGCACTCTAGGCCAGTCTTGCTCTTGCCACTCTAGGCAGCCCGGCTAGCCAGATCTGCTACACTGGATTACATTACATTACTACATCTGCTACATAGGATTAAAGCTCAAATATTGAGCTGTAAGTATATCACAGAATCTCAGAATGGTTGAGGTTGGAAGGGACCTCTAGAGATCATCTAGTCTGACCCCTCTGCTCAAGCAAGGGCGAATCTTGTCCACTGGCACTTTAGAGTGTAGGTAGCTTTCATAAGCAGAAGATTGTCTTTTATAAAAACAAATATTTTCATACCAGACTTATGAAGAAGTTGTGGCAATATCAAAGATTCTTCTCAGCATGAAGTTTCTGCATTAGGCAGGTTCTACTTAACCTCTCAGTACAGCCTGTCCTTTAGAAACCTGAATAAAGGTGAGCAGAAAACCCAGCCTGGAGGACACTATTTGTCATTGGTGTCCAGAATTGTTTGGGGGTGGCTGTTAGTCTTGTGAACGCACAGACAACTTCCAGCTGTCATCCTGGATGCTGAAGTCTATGAGTCTAGATAAAACAAACAAAAGGAGAATTTTTTAACTTAATATTATTAATATGGTGCCGTGAGCAATATTCTGTGTTGTTCCACGCGTTGGAGCTAACAGGAATTGAAGGCAGAAAGTGGCTTCTTTGTTATTAAAGTACAAGCATATTCAGTATGGAGGGAGCTAGGCAACATTCAAGTGCTTTCAGAGTGAAGTGATATGAAAGATTCCTCTTTCATTTCAGCATTCCAAAAGTACTTTAGGGTATGCATTTTACTGTAGAATGCGATCACCTAATTGAAGCATTCAAACAGCCACTTACATCTGACATAACTTTTACTGCTTTTTTATCTCTTCTCCGTAGATCGACCGGTGAAACAGCAGTCACCACGTTTGACATCGACAAGATGTACACGCCCTTGTTCTTTGCACGAGTGAAGAGTTTTACTGCGTTTTCAGAAAAGCCGCTCTGAGAAACACCTTTTCCTCTCACAGTTCTTGCATGAATAAAAGGTTGTAGCAAACGAGCACTTAAGTTATAGATGTGTATATATTTGGAACATTTTAAAATTGGGGGGCCTTGCAGGGAAGGCCATATGTTCTGGTGGATTAGGAATGGCTGGAGATGAAGCTTATGAGTATTAAAAATCTTTTATTTGTGACTGGACTTTGATAACAAAGATTTTATTTTATTTTATTTTTAAACAGATTTTATAAATCAGTCTGCCTAAAATGTGAGTCTTCGTTTGCCTGGGCACCTTAATGGTTTGTCCAGGGGAGATGCTATAGGAAAATCTCGTTGTCCATGGGACAGTGTGCACATGCACTCTGGTGAAGGCTCAGAATGTGAAGGGGAGAAAGTTGTCTTATATTTGTTAAACCGTGTTACATACGAGAACTTCAAATGAATGTTTTCTTTAATTTATTTTGTTTGCCTTGAAGACCTGGCATTTCGTCAACATCAAACTTAAGAAAAAGCAATCAAGGACAGGCAAAGGTGAAGTATAATGTAACTGCAAAGGTGCATGACCATCAACACAGTATGCCAATTGGTCATGAATGAGATTTGATCTTGACACAAGTTCAGGAGAGCCTGGCACCTCACAGGGGTGGGCCTGAAGGGCAGCGGGAATTGGGGAGGGAGTTATTCCTGTGTCACTTAGTGGAACTGGCAGAGCACGTGGCTCTGCTTGGGAGGTGGCTCAGTGGTCATAGGGGATGTGGGATGTGCACTAGTTGTGCACCGATTGCACAAGAAGAGCAGGGCTCACTTGAACACGTTTGTAATGTAATATAACCCTTCATCTAACCTCGCTACAGATGCTGTAAATCCTCTGGGCATTTGTTTTACTAAGATAAATGTTGAGGCTGCTGTAGATGTTTGGGTGCTGTGTCCTGCTAACCATGAAGTGTACCCTGAGGTTTATTGCAGGCACTGTATGCTGCTTCTCCTGCATATATCGCTTGGGGGTGTAGTGCAGACACTGTAATGCTGCTTACTATATCTGTATCTTGGATTCTGAAAGAACTGAGCTTGCTAGTGTAATGTTTTTAAAGGCATTTTGTGTAATCTTTTCCTTTGAACATCTCATTTTAAAAAACTGACCTGGACTAGAGAACTAAAGTGTGAAAGAACTGTTGAAAGTACTATACTTGTTCCATAATTTATAAAGTGTATCTTTGCAAGAAGCTACACAGCTGAAAACATCAATAAATCATAATTTTGAACATGCAATCCGTTGCATTTTCTTATTTTGCCAAGAAATCATTACTTTCATATAGTTAAACAAGATTCTGAATATGGATGTGTGTGGCTGGAACTTCTTCCTTATTCTAACTAGTCTAGAAAGACTCTGCCTACAACCCTCCCTGTTCTATGTCCTCACATGGACACAGGAGCACAGGAGCTACACCAAGACTGGAATCTCTTACTGCATTTGAAGACAGTATTCCTGCCTCTTTCAGGTTTGACAGCCTTCCTGCTTTAGCAGCTGCAGCTATTTTGACATCTTTTGAAGATGCTGGTAGCACACAGATTAATTTACTCTAAGGATGCTCTGTGAGAAGTAGCTGGGCCTGATGCAGAGCTGATGAAAAATTAAGACTGGTGAATTCTATCAAATTAGATTAATTTTTAATGTAGAAAGCCAAGATCTCTGAATAAGCAGATCTTCCCTTTAAAGAATGAATACTATACATGCATTGTAACTCCTACCTGTCTCCAGGCTAAATTTACATCCCCCACTACATTTATTTTAATTGATTACCTCTGTGTAATGATACAAGGTTGCTAAAATTGCTAGAAAAGAAATTATGTTTAATCAGTAATAATTTTCTTTCAGGGACAGCGGGGGCAAAGCAATCACATGTTTGGTTTTCCCTTTTCCTTCAAAACAGCGCTGTCCCTTCAGCTCTGTGGCTTGGTAACGACCAGCAGCTTTGGGCTGTGGCTTCCCCATCCGCAGGGCTTGGAGCTGCCAATGCCAGGGAGGCTCTACTGTCTCTCAGTGGCAGGGCATTGCCTGAAGTTTCCTTTGGTGCTGAGTATGGGTATTTGATGCTTTTATTTTTTTCCTAACAACTTCTTGAAAAGCTGGGAATTCCTGTCAATCCCAGAATTTTGTGCTGGCCCTATGCACTAGGCCAGGCGGACATGCTGGGTTTTTTTCTTTTTTTTTCCTCATATTGTCCCTATCTAATGAACCTCTTTATGGTAGAACAGCTTTGCCAAGAAAGACTGAACATCTTCCCCCTAAGCCCTATAAAACGGGTAAGTGTTGGTGAAAATGCTGCTTCCTACACTGTTACGAAGCTTTAGCTCCGGTATGTCGTAATGCAATGTTTGTTAGTCAAAGATGGCCAGTTAAGGTGTGTTAGAATCATAGAATCCTTAAGGTTGGAAGGGACCTCTAGAGGTCATCTAGTCCAACCCCCCTGCACACGCAGGGTCACCTAGAGCATGTGGCACAGGACTGCGTCCAAGCGGGTTTTGAAAATCTTCAGAGAAGGAGACTCTGGGCAGTCTGTTCCGGTGCTCTGTCACCCTCAATGTTAAAATTTTTTTCCTTAAGTTCCTGTGGAACTTTTGGTGCTTCAGTTTGTGGCCATTACCTCTAGTTCTGTCGGTGGCCACCACTGAAAAGAGGCCAGCACCATCCTCCTCACTGCCTCCCTTGAGGTATTTATAGACACTGATCAGGTCTCCTCTCAGCTTTCTCTTCTCCAGGCTGAACAGGCCCAGCTCCTTCAGCTTCTCCTCATAGGGCAGATGTTCCAGGCCCCTGATCATCCTTGTAGCCCTGTGCTGGACTCTCTCCAGCAGCTCCACATCCCTCTTGTACTGTGGGGCCCAGAACTGGACACAATACTCCAGATGCGGCCTCACCAGGGCTGAGTAGAGGGGCAGGATCACCTCCCTCGACCTGCTGGAGATGCTCTTCTTAATGCAGCCCAGGATTCCATTGGCCTTCTTGGCCACGAGGGCACACTGCTGCCTCATGGTCAACTTGTCATCCACCATGACACCCAGGTCTTTCTCTGCAGAGCTGCTCTCCACAAGCTCGGTCCCCAGCCTGTCCTGGTGTCTGGGGTTATTCCTCCCCAGGTGCAGGACCTTGCACTTGGCCTTGTTGAATTGCATGAGGTTTTTCACCGCCCAGTTGTCCAGTCTGTCCAGGTCCCTCTGGATGGCAGCACAGCCCTCTGGGGTATCGACTACTCCTCCCAGTTTGGTATCATCAGCAAACTTGCTGAGGGAGCACTCTGTGCTCCAGGTCATTGATGAATAAATTGAACAGGACTGGACCGTGGACTGACCCCTGGGGGACCCTGCTAGCTACAGGCCTCCAACTAGACTCTGCACCGCTCATCACCACCCTCTGAGCTCTGCCATAGGGATTCATGTTCATAGGGATACATTTTGTGCTGTGATATCTGTGTATGTGGTAACTGATCTGAAGGAAAAAAAGTAGGCAAAATATTGTTCCTTTTTCTCCTCTTTTCCCTGATGCCCAGAGTCCTCTTCCTCCCTTGATTCACGGCCACCTCTGCTCTGCAATTCCCATGTGCCGAAAGGCCCGGCTGCACCAGGAGCTGCTTGGCAGGAATGGTCTCTAAGCTAAATGCAGCTGCTCTCCTCCAGTGCTGCCAAGTGGTTCCCCGCACAGATTAATACAAGGGTGAGTATCATCAATCTGATTGCTCCTCAAAGGCTCTTGCATTTTCTCCCTCAGCAAGTTTGCTGATGACACAAAACTGGGAGGAGTAGCCGATACCCCAGAGGGCTGCGCTGCCATCCAGAGGGACCTGGACAGACTGGACAACTGGGCGGTGAAAAACCTCATGCAATTCAACAAGGCCAAGTGCAAGGTCCTGCACCTGGGAAGGAATAACCCCAGACACCGGTACAGGCTGGGGAC